TCTGCTACTGCGTCTCATCAAAGAGCCGATGAGGGAGGAGTGGAGTGCACTGAAAGAGTAAACAGGCACTGGAGCCACTGACAATAAATGAAAGCAAAATGGTAAATCTATGGAAGCCGTCTGGCTGCGGAATGGACTACTTCAAGTCAAATTCAGGTCTGAGGCAAACAGATCAAGTTCTTCTGGAGCAGCACCTAGAGGTAGCAGTGACCTGATTCACCATCAGTTTATGGGAAGTTGTGAGTTAACTTCAGAGGATTCTGATCAGTCAGGAAAGCATTTGAAGTCTCAGGACAGTGGTGTATCTCCCTCTCGCTTAAAATATTTGCATCACATGCTCCCCTCCTCCAGATCTAGGGCACTAGACTTGATGGTGGACCTTTAGTATGTCTAGCTTTCTAACACCAGAATGAATTTATAAGAATAGATGAGTATTTGTGACCACACATCTAGTAGTAAACTTGTTTTGATGGTCAGTGCCTTGTGGAGTAGACACAAAGCCAAGAAGGCAATACTATTAATTTTCAGGCTCTGGTTTAAGCCCTAAGTTACTGATGCTTTGCTTTACTTCCTACCTTAAATATACTTGAAAACTGTCACTACTCCCCCGTAAGCAAGCACCTTCAGTGATTAATTTCTCAAGGAAAATTTCTCTTGCATTGCTGGTGCAGTAACCTTCTAGTACTGATGGCCTTATACAGGAGCAGTCTTTTGTTTTAATGACTTAAAAAACCTCTTAAGATCCTTTACCCAAGACTTTTACGAGCAAGTAGCTCTCTGCTCTGGGAATGTCATCTCCATTACTAACTGAAAAAAGTAATGCTTATGTATCCCACACCAACACTGAAACATAATCAAATAAGGAATACTGGTTAGATGTTAGACACTGAGCACAGTAAGAGAGACACTGAATCTTTGGTAATTATCAGAAGAACATAGCTTACTGAAAACAGATCCTGTTTCACAGGAACACAAAATTCTAGTTTATAATTTAGTGCTAAAGAGGAAGAGGAAACACAGCCTAACGTATGTTCCACTGATAAGGCACCCTACATTCTTACAACTTGTAAAGGCATTATACCGAAAGAAACACATTTTGTATGCTCATGCAGTACCTTCCACCATACAAACATATGATCAACTGCCATTCATGTTGCATTATCAGTATCCTATTTACCAGTGCTTAAAAGATGACTCTACGTTAAGACTGAGCAAACTCCCTTAATTTGTGATTTTCTAGTTATGCATCCCAACTTATCAAGAGGGGGCAACTTGTACCCCACCCATTACAAGACTCCTCTGCAATATATTTGCCCAAATTAGTGCACTCAAACTCCTACAGAAATTATCCAACAGCATGAGCTGGCTTGGAAAAAAAGTCTGCCTTGCTGTGAAAGAAGACATTACCCCACCAGAACTATCACCCTCATGGCTTGCTTTTTTTTTTTAATTTACTTTTTAATGGAAGCAAAAACCCCTGTCATCTCACCTACTCCTCTTTTAATAAGGAATGACTGCCGTGACTACCCCCATCTAGAACCACCATTCACTGCCAGCACCTCTGCTCTCCTCGTGTGCTTAGAGAATAACTGATTAGCACTTTGCATAATTAACCTGATTAGCACTGTGCATAATCAAACTGATTAGCACTTTGCATAATTAAAAAGAAATAATAATAATAACAATAATAAGCAGTAGGTAATAGCAAAAGCTGCTAGTCCCAATGCCTGTTCGTTAGCTCTAGGATTAGTTTAGTGCGGCATATTTTATTTCTTAAAACTATTTTTTTTAAAGATGCACAAGCTCCTGAGAAATACAACTTTAAAAATTTTCATTTACTTTCCAGATCACTAGTGAAAATATTGGTTGTTCCACTATTACAACTTGGGATTTCTTGTGCTTTCCTCTGCTGCAGACGTTTAACAGGACGACGCTTGACCAGATGGACCACTGGTCCGATTCCCACATCCGTCTACAGTACTGCTTTTGGATTCATTAGCACAGGATACAGAAGCCTCACATCTTTTAATGCATATATCCTCGCAATGTACTTCAAGGGTAGGAAAGCTGTATTACCGATATTGTCAAGATGGGCAAGGTAGTAAGACGCATATCCTCAAAAGTACATAGGCACTGAATTCTCTCCTGCTCTGAACAATTACTCCAAACCACAGGAAGTCTGGAGAGGAACACAGAATTAATCAGATTCCTGCCCCTAAGCCTGCATCACTCTTCCCCCATTTGAGCGTCATTCTTGTTTATATGTATGTTTTGCATCCTGTTCAAGAATGTGAGACACAGAAAGTACTTTTTCTGAACATCAGCCTCACCCATCTCCAGTGTAAAACTCCCAATTTGGGTTTCAGGACTAGCAACCACCTCCCAAAATCTGAAGAGCCTGTGTAGATACACCTAGCTAGATTGCAAACTGCATGAAAACATCAATGTTAAATGTCTACATCACTAGTGACTCAGTTCTCCCAGGACACTCAATGCCAGCCAGCCTAGAAGAGTGGTGCCCCCAGTGAGTGCACAAATCACCAACATTCTCTGTTTACTAATGTGGACTCATCCCTCTTAGTCACTATACCCCGTGTTTCTCCTCACTTTATTAACCTTATCTCTGTCTAGCATCCTCACATTATAGCTCAGATTTTCCTTGCATTCCCCACAGAGCTAATCCCCACCTTACATCTTCTGTTATACCTTTACGAGCCCCTGAAATATTCACTGCCAACCCTCCACCATCTCCCTACAACAACCCTGCCTACACGTCCCACTGGGTAGCAGACACACATTAAGGCTTCTCTGCTGACTGCTCAGCCAGTACGGTCGGGACACTGGGCAACCGGGGAGCCAGTTCATTCCGAGGGATCAGTCCGTGTGCCCTGCCGCTCTCCAGATGGGAATTGCTGCCTCTGGACTGCACGTGGCCCAGATGCAGCACGTTGCATGGACCTGTCCTAGCACAGTGACAAAAATACTCCCACTGTGCTAGAGTTCCTCTCGTAAATGCTCTCTTGTAAAATAAGCCAATGAGAAAATGTGGGGGGAAAGAGCAATAAAAGAGAATCTTACCATAATTAACTGGAAATGTATTACCCATGCACAGAGGCCTCTCCATCACCCCAAGCTAAAGAACCTATACGAACAGCAAAGGGTGCAGAACTAGTCACTCATTTCACAAGTTGTTCAGTTGCAGAAGAAAAGTGTTGCTGTAGAGATTTTTCAAGTCCAAATGTTCCTGGGGAAGGTAGTTCCAGTAATTCTGGGAAGGAAGCCAATCCCTTAGCTTTATATGTAAATATTTAAACAACATTATTTTTATATACATATATTTTATACACATATACATATATGCCTTTAGAATTCCAGACTTGCAAAACTGCAACAGAAAAAATATGCCAGTCGACATACAGATAGCGGCTCGCCTGCCTGAACCACGATAACTGACCATCAGAAACAAAATACAGCAATGACTTCAAAATAATTGAGCCATGTCATCTATGTATACTAATCCACCCAAACAGAAGAGCTGAAAGAGCAGGACTACAGATTCTAAAGTAGAGAGATTAAAGTCTCAAATTTTATCTCCTTAGAAGTGGCAAGAAGATAAGGTTAATCAATTTTAAATCTTTCAGAGCCTAGAAGGATGCCGAGTGCTTCATCCACAGGTGTGGAATCTCCACCTTTGGATGACCCAAAGCTTCACATTCCTAGCATCTTAGTGCTCTGACACCTGACAGTAAAGCTCTGACTTCATCGTGTTTAGAAAGGTCACGCCTGCTTCAGGCTTAAATCAGGTCCATACCTCAAAAGGGATTACTTAGTAGAAAATGGAAGTGAAAGAATGGAAACATACCTGGCACTGAGATTTACTGAATAAATAAAATGCAATAAAAAAAAAAAAAGCAGCTTTAAAACTGTTGAGGAGGGGATTGATAAAATGGAGGAAGATGATTTAGTGAGAAGGTATCCAGTCAGAGCGTACGATGAATAAATCAATCCATGAAAATAAAATTTACCACATGGATTCCACCTGTATATACTCAGTAAGCAAAAAACACACCCTAACACAAGGTACACATGTGTAAATTCATAGCTATATGATTTAAAGAAATCAAATATTTATGAATACAATATTTACATGTCTGTTCAAGTATGTATATAAAACTCAGACTGGCTGTGCTATAAGAAAAGATCACAGAACTGTACATATATATACACATAAAAAATGTGCAGAAAAAAGGACCAAGAGTAGCGCAAGTCTTTTAGAAAATATTTTAATGGCTTTATAAAAAGCCCTCACCCAAAGTTTGAGGAGCTTTTGCAATCTTACATTTTTCTATTGCAAAATACACCTGCTTTCTTTTCTTTCTTTTTTCCCCCCCCTAAACTAAATATTTCTTCCATCTAATGACTCTCTTTATTAGACAGCATCTAATTTGCATACATTTACATACAATTTAACTGCTAGCTTGTGAGAACAAAGAAATGGCTCTGTATTGTACTGAAGGACAATACTCAGAAAAGGAAGGTATAAAAACCAGCTAGCTCGGTGGCTGTGTATTCTCTTTGTTTCAGAAATACCAGGATTTTTAAACACACCACTTAAAGGGTGAAAAAGATTATTTCATCAAACAATGAAAAAAGATACAGTGCAGCTCCCTTTTAACACATTCTCTCTCTGGCCTGGTTAATGGGATTTAAGGGTCCAATATTTCTTTGCTTTCTTCTGTTTCCTTTATTAGAACTGATGGATTTAATTCTGTCACATATTTTACTTCATATTTTATTCCTATAACAATCTATGCTGAAGTTCAGCTCCAATGCTAATTCAATACTATCTTCCTTTCCTTGCAGTCAGCCTGGAATACAACCGAGCGATCTTTGATGGGCATGAAGTACTCTGCCCTCAATGCCCAGTGCTAATGGATTTTAGAGAGAGTCTGCCAGAATTTTACCTTGTGGCAACAAGTCTAGAGATAATGAAAACTTACCATGTAGCTGACTGGGAATCAACAGGAAGGGAAGCAGGGCTGAGCTCCGCTTGTGAGAACAGGGAGGGACTGTGGTCAGAGTAAATGCAGGATGTAAAGGATGTGTCAATCCCTCTAGTTCCCTAAAAGAAGAAGAGAAAAGGACCTTTAAGATCTTACATGAAGCAAAAACCTTTAGAAACAGTTGGCTGGAACTCCAATACAGACCCTACCAGAAGCATGATACACCAGCAAAGGGTTTTTCTCCAAAGGCTTTGCAGTGGGAGTACCAATTGCAGACGACAGCCACAAATCTCATCCATGTGGACTTGACATAAAAATCTTGCAGGAAAAAAGCGCATGATTTCAGGCTGCATGCTGCACATCCCCATGTCCCCTCAAACGCTCGAAACTCAGTGAAACGGAACGGTCTGCTGTTTGTTACTGCCCACAGAGCGGAGCTGCTAGCTTTACTTCAGAACTCTCCCCTTCCCAGCATCATACTCAAGGACTGGTGCTCAGCGGGGGCAGAAGAAGTAAAGTACCAACATTCAGTGGCGCACGGACAGCGGAAAGAAGACCCAATCACTCTGGAGGCTTGTTATTAAGGGCCTGTCCTGCAGAAACGTAACAAGTGAAACTTTTTGGAGCATAAGCAAACCTATTGCAACCTAATGGAGTGGGACTACCCATGGTAAAAAGTATTAGGTCAAGTTAGCTTGCGTACAAAGCCAGGTGTAGTATTTAGGATCCAGCAGTCATCTGCTCCATTCACTTTGCCCCAGTCAGCCACATGGTATGTGGTACACCGGCTTTTTATGATCAGCAGAAAGCCAAGCGTTAATTTGATGGGCATTCTCACACCAGCACGCGTGGCATAACAACACTGTGACTGAAGATATAGGATCCACATCACAGGCTGTACATAGAGGAAACTTGTGTTGATAGTGCCCTGACGTGCCTTGCTGGCACTCAAAATACATTACAGATTATTTTCAGACACAATTTTTAATTTAAAGCTGGCTGAAATCTTAATGGAGTTTTAGCTCTTTTTCAAAGGGGAAAATTCCCTACTGCTTACAAAAATGTTTTCTTTTTTTTTTTTCCCCCCTCGCCTGATCTGCTTCTAATGACATATAGCAATCAAACCTCATGAAAGAAATTAATCAAGCCTTCATATCATTTTCCCTTTTCAAGGATAGAAAGGTTGAGGTGTGTGATCTTCAGAGGTTCTGATGTGTACCAAAATGCAGGTTTTGGAAAATAGTGGAGAAAGTAAACTCCAAAGCCATGGTTCCTTTAACTATCATACCCTATGCTTGCAGCTGTATCTTGCTGAAACCACTGGGTTATTATTTCCAGAAGCTTAAGAATGCGGCTGCACTACAATGTAAGGTAATTTGAATTGAAGCTGACACAATCCCACCCTTCCCTCATCTCTTTTCTCTCCTTGCCCCACGTCCCCAGATCCATCCTTGAGCCAGGACTGGATAAATGTCTGGTTCAGGGAGCTTTCAGCTGAATGAAAATTTCTTTTCCATGTGTTTTTAGCCACATCAACCCCCAGCTGCAGCTCAACGTCCAGGCATGAAACTTAGGGGTTAGAGCTAAGGAGGCAGCAGAACTATACAAGTGGAGGAATGGCAACAGAGCAGCGTCAACTGACCAGTTTAAGCTGCTGTGGACCTACCTCTTGAGATGTCTGGGGCTGCTTTGGTATGACATGGAAGAAAGGCTCTTATCACATAACTGGAAGCCAAACCAATCATGGCTTTACAGGTAAAAAATCCCCCACCTCACATGCTAACCTAAAATAAACTGGCAGGCTATGCAGATCATACAGAACAGATGTAGTCTGGTTCTGATGAAAAATAGCTTGAGATAATGGTGCACTGCTACAACCTGCACCAGGGGCAATTTCCAAGTGGCAGGTTGAATTAGCCTCAAGTGACATGCATTACAGTAATGCTTCCCTGAGGCAATACGGCAAGGTCCCACATTCAAAAGGAAAGAATTGAGCTTTCTTGCCAAAGGCAAATGATAAAGTGCATGATTAAGAACCACTGTTACCAGGACATCCAGAAGCTCCTGAAAAATCTTTCAAGGACTTCAGAAAATACATCTGGAAATAAAGAGCAAGAATTTTCTTTTACATCTCTGCAGTACGGTACCAAGCATCTCTTTTGCTACTTTCCCAGAGCACAAACAGCAATTCTGTCCTGACTAGAAACCAAGCTTTCTAACCGTCAGCATTTCTAAAGTCACTCTGCCCAAACAATTGTGCAGGAGGCTGTGGGATGCGTATCTGGATTTCAGCTGAATACAGATGGCACTGCAGTCCAAATCTCTTCCTTTAGCTTGCCTGCTCTAGGGGTAACAAAAATTGGAACATTTTAAACCCTGCGAGACAGATCCTTTGGCAGAAAGGAATCACCCAACACCATTATCTACTATTTCTTCAGGAGAAGAAGTCACTAAGGAACAGCTTTACCAGCCAGTTAGCATCCACAGATGGTTCATCATCTTTGGAAATTACAGTAACTGAGAGAACTAAAAGAATCAGTGTGGACACCTGGTCTTCATCCATTTTCATCAGCTCAACAACCAGTACCTGCCTTTTCAGTATTGCAGTCAGAATTTTTATACCCAGGTTACAACTAGGCCTCAAGGGCAGAATACCAGACCAGACATAAGAATTAGTGGCTTTTTTCCTTCAACAGTAATGAAATAATGCTTTCGTATGTAGCATTACACACCAGCATATGTGATTCTGAAGCAATGGCATCCGCACAACTACTTGTTTTCATTTCGGTCTTCTATAAACATTAAAGATGGCTACAGTTATTCTATCAACCATGGGCAACTGCACAGCTTGTTACACAAATCTACACATGTTCAAGTTACATGACCCCTATACAATAGGCTTGGCTGGTTTCCTCAACAGGAGACTCCTGTTTTCCCTCAACAGCCTTTCACATACAGCCATTATCAGTACAACCCACACGTGCACATATTCTTACTGTGGTGTCACTGAATACTTTTCTCTATACCCGTCCATTGGAAAACATGCATACATATGTACCTACACTGCAACATATATATATACACACACACATATAAAATACTCTGGCAAATACCTGTTATTAATATCTAATTATGACAGTATCATTGGCTCGTCATCACAATTGTCTGATTAAATTAATTTTTCTCTTTCCGGGTTACAACAGGTACCTACATCAGTTTTGATGGTCTTTAAAACAATGAGGAGAATCTAAGAACTTTAAACTATGCCAGTATTTGAATACTTTCTATTCAAGTGCTCTTGGTTGGTTTAAAGGTGTATTACCACAACACCAGCCTGAAATTTTAACTTCACTTTAACAATTCTTCTTGGAGCTAAAAGCAGGTTAAGCAAATTGTTCATCAGATTTTTCCCTTTCTTTTCTTTTGTTGTTATAAACTCCATTGACGCTGAGATACAAAAATGTCAAAGTTGGTGTGAGCAGAAGAATAATTCAGTGGAAAGTTGCTCCTCTTGCACATAACTAAATTCTGGCATTTATGAAGTTCCACTTTTTGTACATAGCTGTCTCATTACATTTTGTATTAGACATCATGGCTGGGATTCTCCAAAGGAACAAGGGTGTGATTCTCTTCCCACTCAAATCATGGTGAGGTAATTCAAGTTGAACCCACCAGGAGCACGTTCAGACCAGCTTCAAGTGCTTTTGAAAATCCTCCCCCTTCCCAACCTGCCCAGAAAGTGGGCAGAAACAAATAAAATTCCACCACCTTGTGTCTGGAAAGCAGCATCTATAAGTTGCAGCTTTTGCAGTTTTGTGAAGTTAAAGACGCCGAGAATTCCTTTTTAAATACAAACAATATTTCTGAAGCGAGTAAATTCTGTCAAACATTCACTTTGATTTGATAAATTATATTAAATACAATTTGCCTCAGCAGCATTTTAAACCGTGACAGCTAGAGCACCAGTAGGTCATTTTTACACACAAAAGTAAAATCTATCCAGTTGTGTATACAGCCTAGATTATGTATGCAGGCCCACACTCCCCAACATAACAAAATTACCCGGCTTGCACTCCAAGCCAGTCAGAAACTGTGTAGTTGCAGATAGCAAAGTCAAGCCCGAGCCAATCAGTCCTGCTAAGCAGCTGCTATCTCAGTCGCTTATTAGTTCACCAGTACCCTAGCCATGACCAAAGGCTTCAGATGGGCTTACAGTACGCACAGAACAAAACTGTCTCCGCTTTCAAAATACCACAGAAATGCAACCATGAATGAATACAATCAAAGGGTGGAGGTAGGAGAGAAATCTATTGTAAATTTTCTCAAAACATTATCTTTTTAACAGCAAAGAGAAAATCCTTACTCTTGAATACTCTCTAATAACAGAATCATGCTGTTTGTTGGCAGAATGCTAAGTTTCATTTTCAGCAGAAAAAAAATTGTATAATAATTTTTCCTGATTTAGATGGGTTTTAGGTCAACCTTAGCTACATACAAATGAATGTTTTGTTCAAATTACAGGGTAATTTTAATTAGGACACCCTGTTAGACATCCTGTTGTTCTATTTAATGGACTTTCTCAATTACGAGAAGAAACACCTCCCTACTCGCCCGTGACTTAAAAGTTAAAGTAAAAATTATGCTGAATAAATATACAAAGATTAAAATTATTTATTCTGCATTAGACTTTTTTATTTGTGTTAATCTTTATTTGGCAACTTCTGTATCAGAAGGGCAGAGTTCAGAATTCCACACCCATTAAACACCTGTTTAAAAACCACTTGAAGCACTGGAACCAGCCAAATATGTCCCAATTAGGCAGAAATGTTGGCACTGCTGTCTGGAGTAAGGAACACCCATTGCCATTTGCTCTCATTAGGTTAAACAGGTTTCTTGGGACATAGCTGAATTCCTGATTACATGCACTGCAAATGGATGAAGAACACCAGAACAATAAAATTTAATTCAGCATAGCCTTCTGTCCAGTTGTCGAGCACGCAATTTTGGGAAAAGTGAAAACTGAAGCTTCGGGAAGCGGCCAGGAGTTATGTGCACCGCACAAGACAACTCACACTTCTTTCAAGAAATTGCCTGGCTGACATAACAGAAAGAACTGGGC